AGTTTTTTGTTTTGTAGTAGCAACAAGTTGCTGCTGAATTTCTTGTACAGATAGTTTCATGGATAAATATAATTTTCACATTTTATCCAAAAAAAAAAAAAAAACAATACATTCAAACTAGTAAAACACAAAAAACTAAAAAATAACATATGATTGATTGGTTTTAATAAGGATACTAAATATGAACATATACCTAAAAAAGAGAATGATAAAGGATTATAAAAATTTCCATGTATCCAAGTACTTATGACTTAAGCTAGAGTCTAAAATCTTCATCCTCCTTGTTGATGATGCCTTGTTCTAGAAAATTTGATCCAAGATATTACATCTAAAACCATGGAACTTAATGCCACCACTATCCACATCCACCACTCTAGAGATTCAACTGTGATTGAGAGTTGGGATAGATCTTTAGGAAAGGATGTATGTAATCGAACCCACCAAAGCACATAACAGGTTAAGATAGCTAACCAATCTTTGCGGTACAAGTGGGGTTCCAAACCAACCAACACCATAATACCATATGTGGCATCAAATAGCAGAGACAAAATCATACCCTTGATTCCTTTACTATTTGTAGAGGATGGTAACAGATCTTTGGGGAAAAGGCTTCGTAACCAAACATAGACAACCACATAAATGATTACTACAAATAGACAGTCTTTATAATTTAACATAGGATATGTGATCAAAGCAAAGTTAAACATGCCTTGTGCAACATTTACAATGGTCAAAATCAAACCACTAACTCCTTCGGTATTTGTAAAGGACAGTGCACTACCTTTGAGATTGGGATAAAACTTATGGAATCGAAGATTCCAAAGCATTGAATTGATTGCTATACCTAACCGGTTTTTATAAGTGAGTAAGGGAGATTTGGTAGCAGAAAGTGTAAATATGGCTATTGCAATATTTACGACCATGGATGACAAAATAAAAAACACACTAGTGCTTGTAGCTGTGGGGGTATTTGTAGAGATCAATGACCGATCTTGTTCGAAATCCAACCAGTACTTGTCTAACCAGCTCTTGAAACAAAACAACACAAAACAAACGGAAGCAATTATCCATGTGGGAAACTTTAGTTCATAGCGATTGTAAGTAATAGATCCAATGACTCCAATGATAAAATTAAATAATCCGAGGTCTGTCCGTGGTCGTAATATCACCAATACACATAAAAGAAAAACTGAGATGCACAACATAGCACCAACGCTTTTCAAGGAATTACTGCAAAATTTTGAAAAAAGAAGTGCTAAAATAAAGAAGGTGAAGTTTAATGTTGAATTCGGCATGCAACCACACCTTCCATGGAAAATTCTGAATTGACTCCAAAGCGTTGATTGTTTTACTGGGTCAAAGCCAATAAGCAACAATAACAGCATTTTGGTAACATATTTTGAGCTTAACTCTGTATCCAAAAGAAGAAATATGGCAGAGATTCGGGCAAGTTTACCGACTAATTTGGCCTTCGGTTGACCCTTTGCTGCTTCAACGTGGAGATGCATTTGGATAGCTTCCGATAGATACTTCATCTTCTCTGTAATCGGATCCAGCAGGGCTCTCATTATTGATTGGCAATATACCTTGAGAGCTTCCCATTGATTGCTCACCTCCTCTTCAATCCAATCTTGCAGAAGTATTATCCGGTGGATAAGACTGGTTATTGTCAACAGTGGATGAAACTTGACAACCATCCTCACAATCTTCACAATTTGTGGCGCTGTATTTGAATCTCTCATATCTTCCATTGGGGAGAAAGATGAGCAAGAACTGGCAACACGGGTGGTTTGTTCCGATGAATTAATTCTTCATGGTTTATAGACATACAAGTCTGCGTACCCAGTCCAGACGCGTGAAAATTTCCGCGTGCGTCCTCAAAGTAGTCATTCGGCGTGCACCTGGGTAAGTTGACTTGAGGTCTGGTTCATATAAGGTCGGTCTTCAAAGTCGCAATTCGGGTGCTTCTGGATCATTCGACGTAGGCTTTTCCGTCGACTTTGGTTGGTATTGGCGTTTTACGGTTACTTTCCTTACTGAACGACGCTATGTTCATTTTCTTCATTTTTTCGAATGTTATTCCGTAGTGGATGCTTTTGCAAACATAGGAAGATGGATTTATCCCACAGCAAATAAACAGATCATGTGTTCTAACATAATAAAGTAAAATAACTTATTTGCGTGGGTCTTTTATTCATCATACTCAGGTTAAACAGATCCAATAGTTACTAAAAGAGATTAGCTACATCAGCATCACCGTCCCATTACTTAAATCTCCTCAATGTTAGCCACTTAGCCTATGCTCATTCTAACTAATTTATTAGATAGCACTTAGCACTTATTCATTCCATGATAGAATACTAGATTTTCTTGTATTTAAAATTTATTCTAGAATAATATTGTAGTCAATTTTTTATATTTTAAAGCAAACAAATATTGTTTTTTTTTTTTTTTACTTTTACCTTATAATTATCTCTTAACTTTAATTATTCATCAATCACTAATTTTTTAATTTTTTTCTTTTTAAAAATAAAATAAATGAAAATAAAAGTTATTTTAAATTCTTAATTCAACTATAAAAATATGTAAAAACAATTTTATTATTTTAAGATAGAAAAAATGTTAAATACCTTTTTTCGTCCCTCTACCATTGAAAAAAGCTCATTTTTGTTTTCTATACAGAAAAAATCCCCATTTTAATCTCTAAAATTTGAAATCTTACCCCTTTTGGTCCCTCTATTATATTTTTTGACATATGACAATCAATTAATGGAATTGTGTGATTTATTTTTTATATAAATGACATGGAAGATCCATAGTGTAAAAAAATGATGATGTCGCATCTCGTGTATTAATATTAAGTATGATATATAATTTTAATAAGTATATATCTTAATTATAAAAGTTAAAATTACAAATTTACCCTTAAACTTCATCTTCAACCACCAATCTTCTCTCTCCATCTAAACCAAAGTCGACAGAGTCTTCTCTCTCCCCTTTTCCTTTCCTCTCCTCTCTTCTTCTCTTCTCTCATCCGACTAAGTCTTTTTGTTGATAAATTGGCAATGACTCCCCCAATAAAGTATCTCACCATGAACCAAGAAAAAATAAGAGAAATCCTACCTAGATCTTGTTTCCCTACCCAAATCTGGTTTTCTCTCCTGCCCCGTCTTTCTTTTAGATCCAAATGCAATTTGAAAAACCCAAAGCCAATGGCTCATTCTTCCCTCCTCAGCCCTTAGTTTACAAAATCTTACACCACCAGTAGCTCTTACCATCGTCGCTGTCAACCCATTCATGGACCAGATGGTGACCAACTTCAACAAATTCTTTACCAGACCATGGATACCCTTCTAATGTCTTTTCCTCATTTCCTTCTCTTCTCCTCTCTTCTCTCTTCCTCTCCTCCTACGTCTAAACCAAATTTGGGTTCATCTTTGTCATGCGAGCCTTGAGTGAGGAACCCAAATTTGGGTTCTTGCCACACAGCTCCCATGTAATCCCTAATCGAAACCTAGATTTTTCTATTGAACGAAAGTGATTTTGTTTTTCTGCTTGTTTAGATGCTAATCAAACATGCATTGCGCCACCACATCCATTATCATCCTTATTTTCTTGATTGGAAGTGGTTTTATTTTTTGGTTTCTTAGAAAGTTAGAGAAAATATGAGAAAATTAAATGGTAATTTGTAGTAGAAATTATATTAGTAATTTCAAAAAATTATGTGTTTTAATTTGAACGTGCCATAAGAAATCTAGGGTTGAACCCATTGTAGATGATTTTTTAATAATTGAGAATTTGTAAATTTGTAGATGATTTTTCCAAGAATAGACAAGAGAAGAATGTTGTATCTATGATTTTGATGATTACAAAACACATTTGAGAGACTGATTGGTTCATTTAAGTGTATAGTTAAATTGCAAAAAGACTGCAAAGTAAGTAAAAGGCAAAATACCCAAATCCACCCTCAAAGTATAATGGCTGGGATGGATCCACCCTCGAACAAAAAACGAGGATAAATCCACCCACAAAATTTTCAACTTGAACAAATCACCCCAAATTTAACTTATGACGTTATTTGACGTCAACAATCTGTTACTAGTGACATAACAAATTAATGGATTGTTAACGTCAAATGACGTCACACGTTAAATTTGAGATGATTTGTCCAAGTTGAAAACTTTGTGGATAGATTTGTTCCCATTTTTTGTTTAGGGGTGGATTCGTCCCTACCACTATACTTTGGGGGTGGATTTGGGTATTTTGCCTAAGTAAAATAAGATTGCACTAAAAAGGACCAAAAAGGTTGAAAAATGTGCAGAGAACCAGCTGCAGCTTTTAAAGCTAGCTCTACGATGAAAATTTCAAGTCCGTTGTTTGGCGCATGCAAAAAATAGACACAAAGCCGGCTTTGACTTTGCAGCCAGTTGTGAGGGCATATTTAATGCACAATGGTCAAGTTATTTGAAGATTATTTAATGTTTTTAAAGTTAGAATTCCAAAGCCGACTTTACATTTTTGCAACTGGCTCTCAAGGAAAACAGAATTTGCCAGAAACCTGTAAAGCCGGTTGTAGATTTTTGGATAAATACCCTTTTTGGTCCCTCTACTATAGGAAAAAGCCCTTTTTTGGTCCCTGTACCGAAAAAATCCCCTTTTTGGTCCTTACTGTTCACAAATCCGGCCCCTTTTAGTCCCTCCGTTAAATTTTAGCTGATGTGGCAGGTTAATTAACGGAAACACTCCTTTCTTTTTTTTATTAAATTACATGGATTTTCCACGTGGGAAAAATTGATGACATGTTAAATTTTTTACTTTTAATTATTGATATACCCTCATCTTCTTCCCCGGGCTTCTCCTTCCTCCAGCCTTCTTTTTCTTTTACCTCCAGGCAAACCCAAGAGCCTGGGTTCGCAAAACCTAAAAGGCAGCCATAACGAACAAACAAAATGAACCAACCAGTGTTAATATGAAGGAGAGAACAAACAAAATGAACCAACCAATGTTAATATGAAGGAGAAAACAAACAAAATGAACCAACCAGTGTTAATATGAAGGAGAAAAAGGCTCCTGGGTTCGCACCCAGGAGCCTGGGTTCCTCGCGAACCCAGCTCGAGGTGCGAACCCGAGCTGGGTTCACACCCAGGAACCTGGGTTCCTCGTGAACCCAGCTCTTGGGTTCGCGAGGTGCGAACCCAGGC